TCTTTGCAGTTAGATCAAGATCCTTTATGTGGACCATGTAAACTCTAGATATTTATACTGTAACTTTCAAGGTGTTCAAAATTTACCCATATACCAGACTGTCAGAAAGCAATTTAAATAAAACATCTCAAAGACAATTGACAAGAATACTAATACCATACCAGTACTTAAGAATTAAACATGTTTTAAGAAAAATCTTTGATTTTTTTTACTTGATAACTATCTTTGATTTTTAGGGTACACATAGGAATCCCTTAGTTCTTCAATTTATTCCCCAGAGAATGGACTTTCATATATTCCTATTTATTTACTTTGCTCTATTCAGAAGGTCTAAAGTAGACTTACTCTGGGTTTTTCTGGCAGTGCTCATTAGTGCTCATTAGTATTTGCTACTGAAACTACAAATATACTATTCTGAAAGCCCACACTCATGCACAGGTACACACTCACATATACAACGACCTCAGTAAATTAATAATCTATTTAACGAGAAAATGGTTTAAAACCTGGCAATCTATAGTAAAAAGTCATGAACACAAATAATCTTCATTCTTTAATTTTTCTTACTTCTATATTAAAAATGTATTCCTTCAATGATAAAAAATATAGTAACGCCCTAGGCTCCTAATCACTGATCTTAAATCATCATATTTAGTTTATATTTTGGAACTATTTTTCCATTTCTTAAGGCAGATTTTATTCATCATACAAGTCACATTGGCTTGGGAATTGGAGAAAACTGGAGAACCTAGTGGAAGAGACTCCTCATCTGCTAATCTAATCTATTTGGACTATTAAATATTAAAATGTTTTTTAATATACAATGTTGTCAAGGGTGAGATGAGGGTAAAATGGTATTCTTATAATTGCTGGTTTAAGCATATGATAGTATAAACTCTTGGAAAGCAATCTAATAACATCTAACAAAATTTAACATGCCTCAATCAAGTCTATATCTTGGAATTTATTCTACATATATTTACATATATATGCAAAGGTTATATATAAGATTATGCAAAATAGCATTGTTAGTAATAGCAAAATAGAATTAACGTAAATTTTTCTATAGAGAACTA